TAGTGACTCAGAAGAAGGCAGGTGGGGCATCTACTTTTGTGCAAGTGTCCACCTCCTCTTCCAGATTCCCCAGCTAATGCTGCTCTTTTTGTTACTCTCCTGAAAGGAATTATTGATACTTTTTGGAGCACTGTTGTCTGATCTAATCCCATCTGTCTTCCCAATTCAAACTGAGCAGAGTTTGGAGCTGCATGGAGTGTCCCAAGCTAAGGCATATTAATATTTTGAAACTTCTGTTATTTTCCTATTCTTCCATCATTTTCCTTGGCTGTGCTGTGTTTTAACTACTTTTGCTGTGTTTTAACTATTTTTTGTTTGTTTGTTTGTTTGTTTGGCAGAGTAACTTCATTTGCTATCTTGACATTTATTCACTGTCTTAAAATTAAAGCCTGGAAAAGATAACTTTTTTTAAATGGCAAATATGAAAATATTCACAGAAGCTCTGTTTTAATCATAGTTAATGGACTAAATAGGATAGAGAGGAAAGGGAATATTAATGCTCTCTCAATGTCTCCTTCCCATTTTTCATTCCTCATGTCTTTGGTGCATTTCTTACCTTGAATAGGAATAGTGAGAGAAAACAAGTGTATTGGTCTCAAGAAATGTCCATCAGTGGGACACCTGGGTGGCTCAGCAGTTGAGCATCTGCCTTTGGCCCAGGTTGTGGTCCTGGGGTCCTGGGATCCAGTCCCACATTGGGCTCCCCACAGGAAGACTGCTTCTCCCTCTGCCTGTGTCTCTAACTCTCTCTCTGTGTCTCTCACGAATAAATAAATAAACTTTTTTTTAAAAAAGAAAGCAGGAAAAAAAAAGAAATGTTCATCAGTGTGTAACATTGATCTGAACCGTGAAAGGAAGCAAAAGCAGGCATGCCCTGCACCTGTTTGAGAAGGCCCATCAAATGAGAATCTGTTTTCTCTTTTATTTTATCTTCTGCTTAGTCATTACATACTCTATCAGGATTATCAGAAGGCACTTGAGCCTCAGTATACTCATTATTCGCAGGGAAGAAGGGGCTGGACACTGTGATTGACATTCGGAAATGGGACTTGCTCCTTCCTCCCCACTGCCACAACACACAGCGCATGCACAGTACCCATGTGGTCAGCACAGACTCCCATATTCCCCCAGATGGGGAGCTGGAAATACAGTGTGCCCAGGTGTCCTTTGTAGCTTGGCTTGCCTTACTGAGATCATTTATAAGTCTCTATTAAGATCACCATCTAAAAAAGGTAACGGGCACTTTCCCAAAAGTTGATAGGTTTCACTGTAGATAACACCTTTGGTTCCTGAGGAGTAAGTAGGCACCTGCAGGGCAAGAGCCTAGTTTGGGAAATCAGTCAAGGCTGCTGGGCTGACAGTGCTGCCAAGACTGGGGACAGTGTTCTTTGTGGCTACAGGGTTAATAGGAGCCTCACACAATGGCCAGGAATGAATGCAGTCTTTTTATTCAGCAGTGAAAGTTACACTGACTTTATCAAAGTCAAGATGTCAAGCAGATAATTGAATTAAATTGCCACAGCACTGCCACAATGTCAGAAGTGTACTCTATCTTCAAGGAGCAAACACTTAACAAGGTCACACACATACACATGTATACGCACAATGGTATACATATATGAGAGTCTATATGCATATGTAAAACAGAAGATAGGTATATATGTATAGGCATCTATGTATGAATGGAAAATCCCCCCCCACTCAACAAAATAAAGAATTGGATTCATAATTATGAAGCTGATAATTCATATTCTGAGAAAGTGGTCATTATCAAAATGTACCCTGTATTTGATGAATGAGTGATAGAAGATAATGAGATCTAGAAATGATTAGTGCAAAGAACAAAACAAAAATAATTTACATAGAACTGGACAAGAATAACTGATTAATAAATAGTAAATATTGCTATCATAATGATTGTCAAGGATTGTCTTTATTAACTATTTTCTTTATAGAATCTAACTTCCAGAAAATACTTTGAGGCAGTATCTAGTAGAAAATATTTTTTTTAAAAAAACTGTGTAACTATTTAATAAAAACTAGAGAAGGGAAAGAGAGAGTTATATTGCAAGGCACTGGGGATAAATTGGGCTAGGGCATCATCCAGAAAATATTGAACTAAAAAGATTGAGCTATTGAGCACAAAGTTTACCTCTACATTTCCTGGAAAGCAAAATATAAGAAACCATAATGAGATGTAGCTATAATAAATAACAAAGAATCATACCAGTTTCCCAGAAGAGACCAGTGTTTCCCTGTTTGAACCATTCATCAGAAGTGTATCCTGTCTTTACACAAGTAGGATGACTTACTTTATGCAAGTAGGATGACTTCTGGTTTGTTAGGGGATTTTTCCAGTTTAACATCTGTAATTCTTCATATAAAACTTTCACTCTCATAAGTGCCCTTGTTTGGAAAGTAAATTGTGTGGTCATTTTCTACTGTAGCAGAAAAACATATTGAAACACATGACTGATCCAGGTTTTATGAGGCCAGAAACTTAGATTATCTTGGAGCCTCCCTTTTAAGAAATAGGATGGACAGATACAAAATTAGGAAGAAAGATAAAATTTATTTAGAGTGAAATCACAAAGTTTAATACTATGAAAAGTTGACAAACTATTAACGGCCTGCCATTACTCAGTAATTTTTTCCTGCATTTATTGGCTGTATACTAGGAATAAACACCTCTTTTGAGGGCAACAATTTTATTATATCATTACCTATAGAGGAAAGAGCATGATTGATTAAAATTTATTATTACTGATAGTTTTAAGAAGTTTCAGCTTTATAAGTCATTTATAACATGATGTAAATTTTTATGATTGTTGTCACATTTGGGGAAATTTCTACATTTCATCCCTGTATGGGGTATAATATTTCAGAGAATTTATATTTCAAGTCTTCTTGGGAGTACTAATTTTAACTATTCCTTAGACAGCATACATTGGCCAGTATGTCATTGATATTTTGGTTACAGTGGCATATGAGTTTTATTATTTTCGATAATGTCAGTAAATTTGAAAAGCAAAAATTTAACTATATTCCCAGTGTACTTCTATGAAATGTGCCTCTTCTTTTATTGGATTATTTTTTTTATTTTATTTTTTTTTATAAATTAATTTTTATTGGTGTTCAATTTACCAACATACAGAATAACACCCAGTGCTCATCCCGTCAAGTGTACCCCTCAGTGCCCGTCACCCATTCACCCCCACCCCCCACCCTCCTCCCCCTCCACCACCCCTAGTTCATTTCCCAGAGTTAGAAGTCTTTATGTTCTGTCTCCCTTTCTGATATTTCTCACACATTTCTTCTCCCTTCCCTTATATTCCCTTTCGCTATTATTCATATTCCCCAAATGAATGAGAACATACACTGTTTGTCCTTCTCCGGTTACTGTGGCCAAGTTCAAAAAGGGTGTTGCCTGAGTTCTTCTCTGGGATTTTGATGGAATCTTGTCTCACATTTAGATCTTTCATCCATTTTGAGTTTATCTTTGTGTATGGTGCAAGAGAGTGGTCCAGTTTCATTCTTCTGCATGTGGATGTCCAATTTTCCCAGCACCATTTATTGAAGAGACTGTCTTTCTTCTAGTGGATCGTCTTTCCTCCTTTATCGTATATTAGTTGAGCATAAAGTTCAGGGTCCACTTCTGGGTTCTCTGTTCTGTTCCATTGATCTATATGTCTGTTTTTGTGCCAGTACCACACTGTCTTGATGAACACAGCTTTGTAGTCAACCTGAAATCTGGCATTGTGATGCCCCCAGATATGGTTTTCTTTTTTTAAAATTCCCCTGGCTGTTTGGGGTCTTTTCTGATTCCACACAAATCTTAAAATAATTTGTTCTAAGTCTCTGAAGAAAGTCCATGGTATTTTGATAGGGATTGCATTATACGTGTAAATTGCCCTGGGTAACATTGACCCTTTTATTGGATTATTGAAAAAGAATCTAAGAAATTTATCTTTTCCTCTTCAGGATTTACTGCTTTGGGTATAATCTTTTTCTCTGGAAGTTCTAGACTTTAGCAATAGAAAAGGTGTCAAATACATAAAGATAAAAACTGAAACATTTGGTGTATACAGTATGCAATTTCACACACAGACTTATTGTATATAGTAATGCTACAGGTTTGTGTCCTACCAAGACAGGAATTCTGATAAATGTTTCCCTCCATTTCCATAAAAAGGAAAAAAAGAAACAAAACATAGTGGTTCTTTAAATGGTTTATGCTGCATAGTTCAGCATATTATCAACAAGCAGAAAGTTCTATATTCATTTAGCACAGATGAGAGCAAAATCTTCTGTCAACAATTTTCCCTGTGTCATAATTGGAAGTGTTTTTTGCAAAACCAGCCAGGCCTCTATATGCTTCAAACCTTGTTTCTTTTCTGTGACTCTTGCTCTGCCAATACTGATCATGTTATGATCTCAGGCTCTGCAGCTTTGTATCAGGACACCAGGGGAGCTGGCCCAGTCTGTGCCAGGCTAAGAATAGCCTAATTTTCCGCTGAAGTTACTGCCATCACGTCATTTAAATCCAAAATAAATGTATGGCCAATATGAATTCCTCTCATATACCTACCATTCTTGGAGTCATATGAGTAACCATCAGACAGCAAGAGGGGAAACGTGTCCAAGGAGAAAGCAGAGTGACCCCAGGCCATGTTCCTAAGAGGTTGTAGAATAAAATATTTTACATTTGCAAACTTACCAAAATTTTCCACTTTATGGAGCCAGTATCCGGCTCCCTCTCAGAGGCCTGGAAGGTGCATGTGGAAGAGAGGGACCCTACAGGTTGAGCTTTGTCATGTTCATGGTAAATCAGCCTCTGCAAACGTGATACTTCCCATGGTGCGGACCTTGGTAAAGGCTAAGGCCCAGTTAAGCCTTAGGAAAGAGCTGAATAAAACCAACTCTACAGAGGCTTGGAATACAGCTTTCCAGTGACTGTACAGGTAGAAAATATGAAGGAATAAATGTGTAGCATGTCACTGATCCTTTTGTAGTTCATAAGCATGATGATTGGATGTTCATGCCTTCATGTGACACATGCCTCCCTGAAACCTTGTTATATGACCTTGGCACATTTCCTGTCTGACATGAAAAAAAAATGTTTAGCAGATCTACTTTAATATCAGTACTCTGAGCAGAACAGTTCCTCATGAAACAATTCAAGTTGGGGACATCTGGGTGGCTTAGTTTGTTGAGTGTCTGCCTTTGGCTCAGATCATGATCCCCGGGTTCCAGGATTGAGTCCCACATCAGGCTACCTCTACCACCCACTTGTGCTCGCTCTCTCTCTCTCTCTCTCCCTCTCTCTCCCTCTCTCCATCTCTCCCTCTCTCTCTCTCAAATAAGTAAGTAAAATCTTAAAAAACAAATTTCAAAATAGCCCAGGCAAGGAATGAGAATTTCTATTGCCATCCCAATTACTCCCAATTACTCTCTATATGTATAGACTTGTAACAAGTGAAACACCCAGACTTTAACTTTGTTAATATCAGTGACTGTACAGGTAGACCTGGTATTTTCCAATGTAGTCTCCAGAATATTGACTTTTTTAGGTAGAGGTTATTAACATAATTTTCATATCTATTAAAATAGTGATCTTTTAAAAAGTGGATTTCACAATTCTTAAAATCCATAACCATTCCCATTTTCAAGATATTTGTGTCAAAATTACTGAGGAAAAGAAACAAAATAAAAAAGCAAATGGTTTCCATAGATATTTTTTTATATCTTAATTTAGAAAGCAAATGAGATGAATGAGTCAAGGTGCGGCTTCAGTAATCTCTTCTTTCTTGGTTGGATAAGAGGGCAGGTGAGGCCAAGAGCTTGTTTCAGACTGGTGGACAGAGAATAGGCCAAGTGGGGTTACCTCTCGCAGGAGAAGCAGTCTTTCTTTTCTCTCTTTGGGGGTGCTGTGGTGGTGTGAGTCTCCTTTTGTTTTACCCATGAATTCATCTGAAGTTATCAGGCCTGAAAGAGTCTGGGCTAGTAATCTCAGGTTTCATTTTCTCCTGTCTTTGTGAATAATCCTAGGTTCATTTTTTCTTTATTCTCTGTATTCCGATCTGTAATAACCTTCACGAAGTCATGCTTAGCTTTACTGGCATCCATCATGACTATCCTTGTAGGCACTTCATATATTTGTAGGTTAAGGAAATCATTACAGACACAAGATGGGTGGAAAATCAGACGGACACACTAGTGCTTCAGCAAGGCCTGACTTTCAACTGAACAATTTTTTCTCTTCCTCATTCTTGAAGCCTCCCTGTCCCCTGGACTGTTTTTCTGTAGAATCCTTTGTTCCAGGAATTCAGTATCAATGTAGACATCTCACTGACCTCAAAGTATACTTAGTAAAGAGACGTGGATGGCCAGTGCTTGTGCTAATTAGAGACCTCCTCGAAGACGTGATGAACATGGCTGGCAGCTCCTACCAGATTCCTATCTAATCCAGCCAGATCCTATATTTTCCTCTAAAACCCCTCAACTTTTACCCCACAAGGATCTTCAGGTTTTGTGTGTGTGTGTGTGTTTTAAGATTTTATTTATTTATTTATTTTAGAGAGGGCTAAAGAGAGTACATGAGTGGGGGGAGGGACAGAATCTCAAGCAGACTCCTTGCTGAGTACAGAACCTCAAATGGGGCTCCATCCCAGGACCCTGAGATCGTGACCTGAGCTGAAATCAAGTTGAATGCTCAACCAACTGAGCCACCCAGGTGCCTTGGGTCTGCAGTTTTGAAGACATTAGCCTGCTGTAGCCTCCTTCACCTAGCAAAGCAATAATACCATCCTTCCTCTCTATCCCCAAACTCTGTCTTCATGTTTTGTTTTGGTTCCAGAGTACAGAGATTGGTTTTCAACAACAGGGCATGTTTTTGTTGATTTACAGGCATCTGTATCTGACGAATACAAGAATTTTTACCTAAAATTTTCTTGCACACCCTTGCCCCAGCCCCCAAGAAGTGGAAGAGCCTTTACAAAATACTATTTAGGGTATAAAATTTTGTAATTGAGGATTACCTCCCAAATTATTTCTGTGATATTTATTTTTGTCATTTTAAAGCAGTTCACAAATTCACATTCACAGTTGCAAAATAAGAGCAAATATATTTTCAGCATTAGTATTTTCTTTTATCTAACATATTAAAGGCATATCTTTTTCTTCACTATAATCCAATTTTTAAAAAATGTATAATGAATTTTCAGATATAGTATGAATCTATACTCCATTATTTAGATTTGGAATGTTATAAGTCTTGCTTACCCCCAAATCCCAATCAAATATTACTAAAATCTCATGAACATCTAAATAATACATCATACAAAGTGTAATACCAAGTAATTATTTGATATCTAGCTAGCTTGTTAGTGGTAAATGTTTGTTCTAATTGCAATGATAGCATGTTGTGAATCAGATACTAATTATGTTTTACTTCTGTGTTGCATTAACCATGTATTGCAGTGTAAATAAAATTGAAAAATATAATAAAGACACATAAACAGGCAAATAACAGTAAAGTATAAAAAGTCATAAGATTGGTTTATCAATTAAAACATAGTTTACTATAATATTTTTTTTACTTATTACACACTTTTGAATTCAGAGCAAGCATTTGAATGCTGAGAGTTTAGAGTTAAAAGGTAGGTCTTTATACATATTTAACCAAAGGGGGAAGAATTATTTCAGTTCTATAACTTTTGCAATATGATAACTCTAAAAGCACTTCTATATATATTCTGAAATACCGAGTACAACCTACCTAGTAACTTTAGTCCAGAAATACATAGAGTGTAAACTCTTTACTTTTAATAGGTCGTCAGCGAAAAGGTGATATTAATGTTAATAATTTTCCTTTCTCCTTAAAAAAGCATTCACATAGTCCACATTCTTATTTTTGTATTCTGGAAAATAGTCCTTAAAACTGTAGCAATTATATTTCTTAAATTAAGAAAAAAAAACTCTTGAGAATTGCATGTAATTGTTAAAAGAAAGAAACATGGGAAAAAATCACCAAAACTATAAATTCATACATGTGTTATACATATATGCATTATGTGTAATATATGTGTAACGTGTAATATACGTATATTATACATAATACTGATACATAAAACTCCGAAATTGGTCCATATTCTCCATTTTTTTATAATCTCAAGTTCTAATAGCATTAGTAGGTTTTCTTTTAAAAGGAGATTTAGAATTGGCAATAGTCCCATCAAACCATTTTATAAAACCTTGGAGCATATTTTGTGTAATATGACTTTTCTCAAAGATTAAAAGGGAATTCATGCTTCTATATGCTTTAAAATATAATTAGTTCAGACTTTGTTAATTTGAAATGTATTGTCATTTCCACTACTGCTATGCTGAAGCTTACCTCTTTAAAAAAATATTTACTGAAGAATTATTTACATAAGGAAAGCACATAAATAATATGTCGCGGTTGGATTACTTTTCACATCATAAACACACCCATGTAATAAGCATCCAGATCGAGGAACAAAACCTCACCAGCCAGAGGCAGACAGCTCTCCTACAGTTCCCTACTGACAGGTGGTCAGTCCTAGCACCTTAAAGTTGATCCCGCCTCAACACTATACATTGGGTTGGTCTGTTTTTGAACTTTGCATAAAAGGAATTCTACAATAGCCTTCTTTTGTGTCTGGATTCTTCTGCTAGGTATTAGGTTTGTGAGATTGATTCACATTGGTGAGAGTATTTGCAGACTTTTCATTCTTATGGATGAATAGTATTTCATTGTGTGACCATTTCAAAATCATCCTCTAGTCTCCTCTTGATGGATATTTAAGTAGTTTCTAGTTTGAGACTGTTGTGAATAATGCTGCCATTGACATTTTGTATATCTTTTGGTGAATGTATGCATACATTTCTGTTAGGATAGAAACAGAGCCAGTGTTTTGGCTTTAATGAGCCAAAACATAAGTATATATTCAGCCTGAGTAGATAATGTCAAATACTTTTCCAGTGTTTTCCAGGGTGATTGCATCAGTGTTTCCATGCTTACCAAGAGTGTATGTGACTTTTGATTTCTCCATATATTTACCCACAGTTAGCACTGCCTTTCCTTTTCATTTTGTTCATTCTGGTGGGAGAAACTTGCCTTCTTTTTGTTTTTATTTTTCTTAAAGTATTTATTTATTAGACAGAGTGCGCAAACAGGGGAAGGAACAGGGTTAAGAAAAAGAGTCTCAAGTGGACTCTGAGCTGAGCATGGAATCTGACGTGGGGCTTGATCTCATGACCTTGAAATCATAACCTGAGCCAAGATCAAGAATTGGTCACTTAACTGACTGAGCCACCCAGGCATCCGCTTTCTTTTTCTGTGAAATATTTTTCCTAGGCAAAGTAACATGGGAAGTAATGATTAATCATAGCATGATTAACACATTTCCTTATACAGTTGTGATTGTCTCACCATTTGAAGTGACACATTTTCAGTGCCAAATGTTGCAATTAATGAAAACTAGTTGTATATAATACACTTTGCATTCCTTTTCTCCTTCTCTTTTATTCAAAGCTTTCAGTGTTCCTATGTAAACCTCATGTGTTATACCTTTGAGGTATAGTAAATTAAAAATTTGCTACAAATATCTTAAATTCTTAATGCATTATCCCTATTCAGAGTCCTTTATATTCCATGGATCAATACTTACTATCATTTTTTAAAAATTAAATAAATTTAGAAGCAAGTGAAGGTAAAGTTGAAGTTCTTCTAATAGACATTATGTCATACCTTATAAATAAGATGACTTTAACTTCCAAGTTGCCTAGGATAATCCTGGTTTGCACCTCTTGCCCTGGCAAAGTGCCCATTTCACCTAGAAGAGTATCCTAGTCTGGATAATATATGAACACCCTACTCATAACCAACACCAGTTTGGCTCCAACAATTCCATTAATTTTAAGTAAAAATCTGATCCTGTCTTTCAGTATCTTCAGCCTGAAGTAACTTTGTACTTCATCTTTATCTGATTCAGCTCCTATTTGATGGAGTATTCTGTTAAAAATGAACATCATTTTGGAAATGAAAATATTTCTTGTTGACATAATAATATGTAATTTTGAAG